TCAAATCCATGTCTCTCCAATTTAGAGACAAGGATGTCGTGCAGGACAGCGTCAAATGCTTTGCACAAGTCCAGGCAGATAATGTGAGCTGCTCTTTCCTTATCCACCAACGCTGCAACTCAATCATAGATGGCCACCAAATTTGTCAGGCACGATTTGCCCTTAGTGAAGCCATGTTGACTGTCATCAATCACCTCCTTATTTTCCATGTGCCTTACTATAGTTTCCAGGAGGATCTGCTCCATGATCTTGCCGGGCACAGAGGTGAGACTGTCTGGCTTGTAGCTTCCTGGGTCTTCCTTTTTTCCCCTTTTAAAAATGGGGGTTATGTTTCCCTTTCCAGACAGCGGGAACTTCACCAGCCTGTCATGACTTCTCAAATAGCATAGCTATCTGACCAATGGGGTATTCCATCCTATCTGCCTCATGCTTTTTATAAAAGCTGAGGGATCAAAGGGGTCAGTCTCTTTCTCCAATGGCTGGTATCCAAGGAGGACTCTGTTCGTCTGCCTTTGGTCCCAATCCATGTGTTCCTGGATACAGTTCCTGAGTTCAGCTCCCATCCATCTCTGAGTCCAGTCTGGGACTTTCCCAGTGCCTGCCGGTGACATGATCATCATACGGGAAGCTAGATACGGTTTTGTATATCTTGTATGTATTTCATTAAATTAGTTTAGTTTTTTTTCCACTCTTAAGTGTCTCTCTCATTTTCTGTTCTCTGAAGGAAGATGTTCTCCCTTCTCTGAAGGGGAGACAAGTAAAACAGAGCATTTGTCGTTTGTTTTAGTGGCCAGCCCAGCCCAAACCATGACACATACACACAGATTAAAATAGGCAACTGCTTATAAATCATGCAGTTTATTAAGGAGACTGAATTCATAGGTAATTAAAAAAACCCACAACTCCAAGTTAATGAGAGATACAGTGCTCATAGTTATACGCCTTCTTCCACAATGTAAATTAACATCAATGAGGAATAAAATGCAAAATTAAAGAGAAGTAGTTAAAAAACATCTACAAATCAAGATCTTGGACTGAACGTGTCATTTACTCTTTTTCCCTAGCTCTCCAATGATTCTTCCAAGTAATGTAGATCTACTCTTATGCATGTGGATACTTATTAAATCTTCAAATGAGTCTTTCTTCTTCAGAACTGGCGACCTCTGAATATGAGAAAATATCCCTGAAAAGTGACATGAAAATGCATATAAGTAATCAATTTCAACACATCAAAGAGCAGCTTAATACTCAGTTTCCCACATCCACGTTTCCTCCATCTTTAGCTGCTACTGGTCCCCGTTTCATCAGCGTTGCCCCAGACCCTCTTGTTTTGGTGATAGCCGTATCCCTCCATTTGCAAGTTGCCTTTCAGTAACAAGTTACTTTGATCTTTTCCCCCAGCACGGACCTTTTCCTTCAGTCTTCCTATAAAACTCTTCCACTTCTAATTAGCAGCATCAAAGCACTCGAGTCTGCTCACAATCTTACTGAGTCATGGACTTGTAATCAACCTCCTTGCACAGTGGATGAGATCTCTCACACTGTTTAGTAGCACATTTGTTATTTTTTTGAGGAACTATGGGGTATTTTCTTTGCAATGATCTCCAAAAACCAGCAGATTGGCCTTATTTCTTTTATACACATTTGTCTTCTGAAAAAGTAACTGGTTAACACAGTATCTGTTTATTTACCAGACCTCAAATGCAGCCTTTGCCCCACTACCCTCCCTGGCACCCTGCAGCCCAGCAGAGCTGAAGACAGCCAGTTGTGTCTGCCTTGGGCCAGGTGCAAAGGCTGATCTGAGCCCAATTACCTGCACTTGTGAGGGCAGTGGGCACAGCTGTGGCCACTCTGAGTGATGAGGTAGCAGGGGGACTGCTGAGTGAAGAGAAAAGAGGTAGAGAGGTTTTTGTGTTTGTATTCCTCAAATGTTTATACTGAGGATGTGCTATGTGGCTTCCTGAGGAGGGTCTTTTTGTACAGCTGCTCTTTGGGAAGATTTGCTGTGAGTACAAAAGCTATGTTTTCCTTGTAGTTCTTAAGTTTTATTTTGGCTCATTAAGAGTTGTTGCATCTAACTCCAGTGTTGTAATATATTGGAAATGTTTTTGTGAAACCTGCTTTTTCATAGTGTTTGGGGCTTGTTGGGGAAAGGGATGAGTTACTAAAGATACCTTGGCCAGGTAACTCTAAAGGACTCTCTCTGCCTATCTCAGTTTAAAGCTAACACTTCTCTGCAGGGTATCTAGGGAAGTTGAAATGCTAAGTAGGATGTTAGCGGGATGGAGGCAGTTTGTCAGGTAACTCATATACAGCTGTTCCAATTTTGTTGTGTTTTTCATGGATTGTGTGGAGTTTTGAAGAGTATTTTCAGACTTGTTAGTGACTACAATCAGGAGCCTGGCAGGACTAGATCGGTTCAGAAAACAGCATTTGAAACTGTAAGTCTGGACCTGGGCTATTTCTACAACTGTCTTGGTGTACACTCAGACAGACTTGTTTCCTAGTATGTGGAGCTGTGGAAGTGTGTCTTAGATGTGACAAAGTAGTTCTGTCAGTACTACTGAAGAGCTTTTACCAAAGACTTTACTAGGGTTTTTGGCTTGGAGGGCTTTTCTGGTTTTTTTTGTTTTTTTTTCTTAGAAAAGCTCAGTTCCCAACATTCAATTTTCACAGTGACCTAATGGGATTTATCCTTTAGTTCTGAAATCTGACACTAGAATAATAACACCTTAACATCAGCATTCTGTGCCAAGTCAAGATGTCTGTCTTGCTTCTCCAATTAGATGATATGTTTAAGGAACTACAGCAGCTTACAGAATGCTCCTGATTTGTGATCCTGTTTGCAACTAAAAAAAAACAAATTGAAATTGTGAATACTTAAGAGGAATAAGATGGAAAAACTTCAGTATGGAGCAGTAAAGATGTTATCAGCAGTTGCAAAAGTAATAGTATAAAGCAAAAAAACTTGTTTTATTGTGTGGCTTCTACAACAAGCCTACTGAAAGCTATTCATACCCACCCATGTAGACATGAATTACACAAGGTCATTCAAATGCTGTTAGTGCTGCTCTTTGGGCTAAGAAAACAGGCTTGTACATCTCTTTACGCATAAGAAGTGGTAATTCTATTCCTCATCATTTGCTAGGGTGTGATTTCTATCTGCAATTATTAACAATTGATTTTTGCTTTCTCTGACGAAACAAGGCAGTGGGGTCAAGGGTTACAAAGATTAAAACAGCTGGCTTTGTTAAGAAACTGGGAGATTTGGATGAGAAGTTAGATAGCTCCTCCAAAAAATAAAATTTAGGCTGTCACTGCTATAAGCTGCCTGCTACTGACTGATGTTAATCAATTGTACAGAGAAACCAGATTAACTGATTACAATTCACAAAACAAAGAGGTAAAAGAATAGAGAAAGGGAAGGAATCTTTGTTTGTCTTAAAGTGTGAATACTTAGTAGCGCTTAAAATCTCTCTGTATAGGAGTAAACAAAACTCACCATTCATCACAAACCCCATAATTTGATTCTTCAAAATATATCAGGCTGTTACTCTTAATTTTGACTGGAACAAAAGCTCTTTGTTTAGGAAAATCACAGTGTGACATAGACATGAAGAGCCAGATGTAAACAAAAGGCTGAGGGGGAATTTAGACAGTGATATTCAGAGCTTCAACCCTGAAAACAAAAATTCATCTGGTGCTTTAGCCTGGGGGGCATCTCAGTTTCTGACAGTATTGCTGCCTCATGTGTCTAAAGCTGCATTCTGTTTGCACCCAAAAATGCATCAGTCTGGTCAGGACTGAGCAACTTGTTGCCTGTGTGATGTCTAAAGCCACTCAGGAACCAGAAAGGTGTTCTGAGTGGCCTGTCATCAGCATATCTGAACACAGTAAGGATCTTCTCAGAGCTATGCGATAGCTCAGATTCTTTGCAGAGCAGGGTAGGATCCACTCCTTGCTTTTAAAATGCGGATAGTGGTTGTTTGGCTCAGGGCACAGAAACTGTGCCTGTGTTTGTGAGGCGTTCTTAATTTAGAGGAGATCGATTCAAACACAACTCCTGTCTTCTAGCTTAATGGCTAGGATACTGTCTGTAGGTAATGGGGGTAAGGACCTCTTGATCCTTCCTTTCTCAAATCCTGTCTTTCAATACACAAAACATTTTAAGGTTTGCTGGCAAGAGCTGGACTGTCCAGTGGTATAGTGTCCCTAGGGTAGAAGAATCCTGAATTCAAGTCCCTTTTTCAGAGACATTCTAATGGAAAACTGCCCAGCGAGGTTCTTCATTATTCCATGGACGTTACCCCCAAACATCTTAATTATTAAGACACTGATCTAGGAAGAGGAAATAAAGGTCTGAATCTGTTCACGTGAAAACGCAGTTCTGCCTTCTCCCTGTGGGCCCAATGCACTATGTTGTTGGTGATGGCAGCAGCACCGCTACCCTGCCATCAAATTATAGCACCCGACCCTTTCTGAAAGTGGACATTCTCAAGGGAAGGATGCATCTGTTAGTAGCAGGATCAGAACTGAAGCCTTGGAAGGGATTGAGACTTAGGAAAAGCTACACTGTATCTTCCTGCTGGGAATGGGGAGGCTAAGTGACATGCTACCTTTTGCAGATCCTGCTGTGAGGTGCCAGCTCTCACCTTACTGCATATGGAGACACTTTAAGCCTGGGGATTCTGCTCTGGGGCTGGAAACCTGGAGATTAGGAATTGCAGCACTTAGAGTCACAGGTAATGTTCTTCCTCCTGAAGCTGTAGCTGTGTCTGAAAGCCTGCATGCATCTGAGCCCTAGGTCTGTTTCCACTGTGCGTTGGGCAAAGTTACCAGTACAGAAATAGGAAATATCTAGTGGTTGACAACTAGATGGCAAGTAAAGATATCCTTACTCTTCTGCTGAAAGACTGCTGCTCTCCCCAGCAGCACTAGTGTGATGCATTCCTGGGGTGACACACCTTTTGGAATGAGGAATTTAAAACTAACCTGTCCATGGCACAGTAGTGGTAAAAACACTGGTGTGAAAGAACATATTTGTATGTTCGGTTGGTGAGCTGCCTTCTTTGAATCCTCCTGTGTTTCACTTTCTGGCTGGTGTGGAAGAATATATTTGTATGTTCGGTTGCTGAGCTGCTTTCTTTGTTTGAATCCTCCTGTGTTTCACTTTCTGCTGCCCATCCTCCCCCACCAAACTGAAACTTAAAAGCTCTCATTAGATTTCAAGTTATTTGGTGGTCAAATTTTTACTGAGATCACTTTGAACATTAATATAGCTCTGTACTGGATTGGGGGGGAGGGGGGTGCAGCACTGTCCTGTTTCTGTACTATTACGACATAACACAATAAGCCTGTTTCTCTTTTCTTTCCTGCTAGACTCTAGTTATTGCCCATGAGACGTGTATTAAAGGAGTAGTAACCTTGGTTTCTCCCTGTGAACTGAGAACGTAGAGTAGCGATCTTCTGTTCAGCTTCTGCTAGCTGTCTTCTCCCTAGGCCATGGGTTCTGGAGAGCACGCAGTCCACATAGATATCCCAGAAGAGCTGAGCCAGGTCCCAAAACAGAGCCCCATGTTTCAAGTTCTCTGATGATTTCAGGAAGATCATGAAGTCCCAAAAGCCACTGACAGAGTCAGAAATGCGAGGCCTCCTCATCTCCAGTAAGACAGCTGAGGAGGATTCCCAACACTGGGGGTCTGCTCGCCCAAGAGCTAGTGGATCAATTTGGCTATGGCAGAGGAAAGGTGTTACACAGAATGCTCCCATGATTAGCAGAGAGCAGGTGAGTCTCATGTTGCAGTGGATTCTTCCTCTGTTCCCCGAGTCCATTGTGTCACTGAAATGTAACAAAACCAAAAGAAGCTAAAAAACTTTTCACTGTTAGATGCAGAAACAAAGCTCTGATACCTTACATTATATAGAAAGCGCTTCAGATGTTGATAAGTGTTTCTCTGTTCTTTAAAGATTTTTGTATGGTTTTTTGCATGTATAAATAGAAATACTAGTGGAGTTGCATTACTCTGTGCAGCAGAAGTGTGTTAAAATTTGTTAATCATCCTCAAATCCATATGATGAACTCTTATCTGGAACTTCTTCATATTGAAAGTTTTTGGCCTTTCTTGATTTACAGTTCCCTAACCTTTTTCAGTAAAATTAATTTCCTTTTTACAGACATTTTAAGCCTTTAGGCAGTCTTGCTTTCCTCAAAATTTCATTTTCCTCAAAATTTTATGAGCCCTTTAAAATAGTCTGCAGGCTTGCAGGGACCTGTGGACAGCAGGTGGAAAATTATTTGGTGAAAGTGTGTTCTAGTGAATTAATGGTAGGTTGCAAAATCATCCATTGAACAGGAGTATTTTACCTGCTAAAATCCAGAACAGTTCTAAAAAGAGAGTATAGCAAAGCCACAGCATAGCAGCTGTATTGTACAACATGTATACATGCATATAGAATCACAGAATAGTTTGGGTTGGAAGGGACATTTAAAGGTCTAGTCTAACACCCCTGCAGTGAACAGGGACATCTCCAACTAGATCAGGTCACTCAAAGCCCCATCCAACCTTACCTTGAACGTTTCCAGGGATGGGGCATGTACCACCTCTCTGGGAAACCTGTTCCAGTGTTTCACCACCCTCATCATAAAAAATTTTGTTCTTATATCTGGTCTAACTCTACCCTCCTTTAGTTTACAACCATTACCCCTTGTCCTATCTCAACAGGCTCTGCTAAAAAGTCTGTCTCCATCTTTCTTATAAGCCCCCTTTAAGTACTGAAAGTCCGCAATACAATAAGGTCTCTCCAGAGCCTTCTCTTTTCCAGGCTGAACAACCCCAACTCTCTCAGCCTGTCCTCATAGGAGAGGTGTTCCATCCCTCTGATTGTTTTTGTGGCCCTCCTCTGGACCTGCTGCATCAGGTCCATGTCTTTCCTGTATTGATATATATATGTGTGTGTGTGTATATATATATATGTACAGATGCTTGTTGCAGATCACTGTAACAATTGTCTGTTATGTTAACATTGTGAAACTTGTTATTTGGCAGCTATAGCGGGAGAAATCCTGTGAATGATCAACTTCTGGGGACTGAAACGTCCAGCTGTCTCCATCAGATTTCATTCCTAGTACATGCTTCTGTTGTGCATTTTCTAACATGTTTCTAGTATTTCTAATATTATATTTCTGATAACACATTTCTAATGTGTAACAGGTTTGGGGGTTGTTTTTAGTGTAGTTCATGGGAACCTTCCATTTGTGGAAATCTGCAACATCCAAGATCAGCTTTTAGGACAAACAATTCTGTTTAATGTGTGTGCTGACCTGTTGAGTATTCATGTTTTTGGTTTCATTGTTGGAGCGTGTTGTGGGTGGACAAGCTACCTCTCTTAATGAGCTTACCTTAATAATCAACTGGCTTTTTTAGTAGAAAGCCTCTTCCATGTGTGATTGTCAAGAGCACAAGCAATGTTTCTTTGCTATGTAAATAAAAATGTTGAAGGCAGGATAAGTGTGTGCAGATGGATTGTGTGTGAAAAGTAGCCCAGCCACAGCCAGCGTGCAAGACCAGGGGAGGGTAGGCTGCTTTGTGGCATGTATTTCATTGTAGAGGTAAAGGACTCTTCAGAGATTTCAGTCCTGGCAGTCGTATTCTTACCTAGCCCCCTATCTGGCTGTCTGGCTGAGTTCTTGGAACATTTTGGAGGTATTCAGACTTTACTCTCGAGCTTTTTAATGATTTGGGATCTCATGAGGAGAACTGGCTTGGCAGCCTTGGATCTGAACCTTGCATTTAATGAATAGAAGAGGGACAGCACACTCTTCCCACACTGCTCTGCCTAGTGGGATATCGCGACAGTGGTGGTAGTAATGGGGTTACCCTCATGCTGCTCCCTAGACCTCTAGAAGCATCATTCTTCTGTACCCTACTGCACAAGGCAGGTTTTGATTGCTTTCTCAGAAGCAAATCTGAAGACATCCTGTGAGTCACTACTTGATTCTTACTTGTTTGTGCATCAGAGCCTTTCCACTGGGCAGCAGACACCTGTGCATATATGCTATGCAATATGCACATATCTATCTGTTTACCGAGGCTTCTTCAAGGGGCATAATTAACTTTGTTTTTCTAAACTAGAAACTTGATAAACAAACAAACAAAAACCCTGACATCTTAGCCATCTCAGATTTGGCCATAGGGAGGAAAAAAAAGACCCATCAACAGGTAGTTCAAACAAAGAAGTAATGCTAAAATTGACTTTTAAGGCTGGTTCTGTCACTTGGACAGGGATCATCTGATTTGCACTGGTTAACAATTGGACTAGTTGCTTTGCTTTCTCTGCCTCTCCCCCAGCCCTTTTGGAAACTTTCTAAGTTACAAAACTGGGCAAGACAAGGACAAGGGTTCTGGATTTGTCGGAGGTGTGAGCAAAGGGACTGTGCTGGGCAGGGAGCTGGCAGGGCATTAATATGAGGGTGAGTGCCATTTAAGGTGTGGTGTGAATGGCACTTGTCAGGCAGGGCCAGTAGCCAAGACCAGCAGTCCTTACCATCTGGTCAAACCTGGGCAGCATTTTGATATTAGTCTTCTTCAAGGTTCAGGGTGTTTTTAGATGGCTGAGAGCTGAGCGAGATGCTCAGGAAATGTCAGTTTTCATTAATCTCTTACCTGTGCTCGTGTGAATGCTTCCATGCCATTCCCCCTTCCCCTCCAATCTTTAGGTCTTTCTGTCCATAAATTGAAGTTCGTGTGTGCATGTGCTATATATGGCTCTGACTCTTTTTTTGTTGCCTTTTTTTTCCCCTCTTCTTCTCCTCTTAGTTTAACCCACACCCCCCCCTTCCACCTCCCCCCTCCACTCCCCGTCATGAATAGTGCCTTCCAATAGTTAACAATTTAAAAGTTAATTAGCTCATTCGTTATCAGCGTTTTACTTGGTTGGAGCTATCGCTTATGACTCGATCCCACACCGTAAAGCTGCCGAAGC